ATATGATTGTTATTCTCTATGCAAGATTTGGCAAGGATTAAATCATTCCTAGAATTTAATCATCTTTACTCTCATAAGTATCCTAGACGCTCATTGGAGAAGGCACTTCATCTGTTCAATTTAAGTATCCCAATACCTATTAGCAAACTGCAATGTGTTTTTAATCTAGAATATTTGGACAAACATAAAACATGTCAAAGCATTACAGAAGAAAAGTGTTGCCCCAAATTCACAGTGAAATACGGTAAAACCTTGCCTTGTCAAACAAACAGCCATTTTAGAGAAGTTACTTAACAAAAAAAAATTTTTAAGAGAGTATAAAATTTAGTTAAACCAAAATGTTAACGTGTAACTTCAAGTCAAAAGTATCAAGATTGAAAACTACTAAAATTAACAAAGAATTCAATATTTAAAAATCCAAATAATCAACTAATTAATAATCACTATATTTACTCATATCTGTGGTAAGAATTTACATGTTATTGTTTATAACCTGCACAAAAAACTCAGAGGGACTAGTTTTCATCTCTATTTGAGGTGACAAAACTTGCAGTAAAAGATTTTGAATTCACGTAGCTAGGAAGTGACAGAGCTAGGATCGGAACCCCTGGCTCTAAGCCCCTGATTTAACATCCATAGTGTGTAAGATGTCTTTAGTTGACTTCATTCTGATGCTTCTGTCTTCCTTTCAGATTATAATTGGGTCCAATTTAAGTATCCCAATACTTTTGTTTTTAGAGATCAAGCTAGAGTAGCCACATTTGGCCTGGTATGGCTGTAGGCAGTTAAATATACCTGGTTCACATGGAGAATGAAAATTATTTGCTCATGAGGAATAAGAATCATTAATTTGAAAATAAAATTGCATACTATGCATTTCCTTTATAGCTTTCCCTTTAAAATCAAAGCGTTTCTTTAAGTTCTTGGCAGGTAACTTGCCCCTATTTCATGGTGTAGGCCAGTGGTTCTCAAATCTTGGTGTGCATAAGAATTCCCTGAGGGCTTGTCAAAACACAGATCACTGGGCCTTATCCCCAGAGTTTCTGATTCTGCATCTGGGTGGAGCTTAAGAATTTGCATTTCTAACAAGTTTTCAGGTGATGCTGATACAGCTGCTGCAGAGGTCACACTTGGAGAACCACTGGTGTTGACAGACTACAAGATGGCTGGACATCTATGTGCCCAGCAATGGAACCAAAGAAGGGCAATAATTGGGTTGCTCTGATTTCCCCCAGTGAGTGTTGGTGCTCCTTTCAATATTCAGAACAAAATGTCAATTCCCTACCAATCTCAGTGCTGTCATTCTGGTGGCATTCATGGGACCAACTGAATCTCTGATTTGCCATTCGCTGAGAGCCCATTCAGCTGATGGGGTGGGGAAGCTGAGGCCCAGAGTATTCTGCCATCTGGCACAATTCATTTCATTTAACTTCTCTGTAAATTATTCTGCCAAGGAAACAAACAAATAAACAAAAGAAATGGAACAATTCGTGTCAATATAAATTAGGGAAAGCAGAGGGTATTAGTAGTGCTGGTACCTCCCAGTCTAAGAGATAAAGGAGAAGATGCATTTTAGTCATGCATAGTGGCAGATGCCTGTAATCCCCGCTATTGGGGAGGCTGAGGCAGGAGAATCGCTTGAACCTAGGAGGCAGAGGTTGCAGTGAGCCGAGATCATGCCATTGTACTACAGCCGCCTAGGCGACGGGGTGAGACTCCATCTCAAAAAAAAAAAAAAAAAAAAAAAAAAAAAAAAAAAAGAATGGTTACTTCACAGTTGTCTTTGGAGTGACACCTGAATAAAAAATAAAACAAAATATAAAAATTTTTATTTATTGAAGACAATCTTCTCTCCCTAGAGTAATGTAAAATAATAATTTTAAAACAATAACAGCACCGATTTGAGATAACAGGACAACTCTATTTGCTTTTGGTCCTGTATCTCCGGGTGGGCAGAGCTCTCATTTACGGATGTTTTGTTGCCAAATTATACACATATCTTAGGCATAACTCTCTGATTTCTTAAAATTATGTTAATAGATGTCACTATCCCTTGCTCAACTTTGAAAGTGCCTGTAAGCATGCGCTCCTGTCCAGTACTGTTTTGGTTCTCCTCAGGTAACTCCCTCGGCGTCCACAGGGGGGCAGGAGATACCATACTGCACAGTCGTGTGTCTTTCCATCTGTTTGGTGTAGAAAAATCTAACCACTACAAGAAAGCCACGGTCAGGCTGCTAAAGGAACCCACATCAGACCTTCTCAGTTCATCTCAAGAAACTCAAGAGCATGATTGCAAAGGCTTTGGTGTGGCCTCAACACTGGGGCAGATTCCTATCTGAAACTATCTGAAATATACCTACTGGGGAGGAAGAGATCAAACACTACCTATTACTGTAAGTCGTTGTAATATTTGAAATATAATTTTTTTTAATATAGGAGAAGCATTGGCTTAGGAGTCAGAATGTCTTGGCTCCTAATCCGAGTTATATTTCTGACTAGTTTAAAACCTCTGGCTCTGTCCACTGAGTTTGTCTGCACATCTGTTTCCTCACCTATGAATGATTGCTGCAGCCCTTTCAGGCAAAGACTAGCCAGAACTTTTCTTGCAAAGACCTGGGGCTGATAGCAATGAGGGAGGGTAATGTCAGCCCCAGGAGAATCCTGAAGGACAACAGACCACAGCCTTTGTGGTCCCTGTTTCACTGTCATTTACTGTTCCATGAGAATCCATCTAGCATGCTGAGAGGTCCTAAACCACAGCAATAGGCTCATTACTTTGTTTCCTGTTTACTGATAACTTGTAGCAGATAATAATTGCTGTGGGCAAAATGAAGAGAGAACACATAGAGCTGCCTCTGCAGGCAAGAAACATAAAGTACTGATTGGATGGAGGGTCTGAAACTATGAATCAGTGTTAACTAACCAGACACCATACTGATAGAAATGAAAATACTGAAAACTCAAACCACAAGTGTTCATTTCCCTGAGGGAAGGGATGGAAATAGACCACAAGGAGGATGCTTTCCTGGATGACACTTGACAGGCAGACACAGAGCAAGACACAAGGCAGGCCAAAGAAGACCACTTGCACCCACGGGTGACAGGCAGGCAGAGGGGAGATGCTGCTTCTGCAAATGAGGAACGAGGAGTTTTGAGTCTGTGGTTTGGCAGAAATGGCACGTGCAGGCCAGTAGAGGGGCAGTGAGGATCTGTAGAGACAGGAGGGGGACACAGAGACACTGGAGGCAGTGGACTTGGTTGTAAAATGTTAAGTGACAGGGGAAGAATCCCACATAATATCTATCCCTGAATTGCATTAATATGAAAAGGATATGAGCATAACAAATGAAGGAGGGGAAGGGAACCCAAAAGGTAAAAACATTTGAATTTGTTGCAGTGGCAAAAAATGTGAGAAATAATTTCTTCTTTTAGTTTCATCTCCTTTTATTTTATTGTAATAATAATAAGCCATTTTAAAGCAAAGAGAGAGGAAGGAAGAAAATGTTACAGTAAAAGCACTTTCAAGTATAAGTTCTCAGAACTTGACAACCATGAAACCAAAACTGGGGGATATAAGTAGAGTTGGGATAGGGCCAGAAGGGGGATCCATGGAGACCAAGAGAAGAGTTGCCAAGCTCAATGGGTCAGTTGTTAAGAGCCCAGACTCTGGAGCTGTGTGACCCTGGGCCTCAGTTTCCCTATCTGTAAAATAGGGATAATACAGCACTTATTTCAGGATTGCTGTGAAGATTAATCAAGTAAAATAATATTGGTAAAGGGCTTCAAATCATGACTGCCACCAAGTTCTCTGTGGATGCTTGCCATTACCTGGAGGAGGCCAGTGTCCAGGGTGGAGGGGTATCCCAGATCTTAAGAAGTTAAAGGAATGAGAGGAGCAGGCAGAAAACTCCCGGGAGGCTGTCCTGTGAGTGGTCCCTGCAGGACAGAAGCGGTGATGAAAAAGCAAAAGGAAGAAGGGGGAAGAAAATGAAAGGGAGGAGATTAGAGAAACTGGGAACACACACAGAAAGTAGCATGGAGGAGGAAGAAGCCACCTAAGATCAAGTGAAACCATAAAGCGAAGAAAAAACAAGAACTGAATGAAATAGAGATGTTGGGCCAGGAGTGACTTCCCAGTGGCAAGAATCTTGGGCTTGGGGCAGGAGCCTGGGTTCTGTCCCTTGCTGCATATCCTGGCAGAGTGGCCTTGGAAAAGTCACTTATCTCCATCGAGTCTTGGTTTTGTTTTTTTCCATCCATGAAAGTGAAAATAGTCACACCAACCTCACAAAGCTGTTGGTACGATTAAAGGAGGATGCTTTATGGTTGGTGCCTGAGCACCCAATCGATGCTCAGGGAATCTCTTCCGTCCATAGCAGTCCAGGGCAGAGCACTGTGGGAGACAGAAGCAGCGCTACGCCGCCTTGTCTTTCAGCGTGCAGGCCCAGGAATGAGCGAGGCAGTGGGCGGGGAAGACAGGCACGGGGAATCTGGGGACAGATAAAGGAAACTCGTGATGGGGCGAGGCTGGGCTGAAGAGAAACAGATTGGGGTAGAGCTGCAAAGGGAGGGGTCCACTGGAAGGGGAGGGGGAGGCCGGGAAGAGAGAGGGTGGGAAGGCAGTGTGAGATGGGAGGGCAGTGTGAGAAGAAAAGCAGGCTGGGGAAAGAGGGATTGGAATGCAGAAGGAACTTGGGGAAGGAGGAAGTCCTGCAAGCGGGAGGGAAAGAAGAGAGGGAAAATGGGGACGCAGTGGAGGCGGGGGACAGGCTGCGAGAGGGAGAGGATCCCGGGAGCAGACGAAGGAGAAGTGGAGCGGCTAAAGTCTGCGTCAGAAGAGGTTGAGGACTGCGAGAGGAGAGGCTGGGGCCTGCAGGGGAGCGCAGCAGCTTTTAGCATCGATCCAAACTCTAAAGGCTCGTGGCCTTTGCCTGACCTCGAGGGTCGGGAATAGACGCCTGTCTTTGTGGAGAGCGATACCCCACCGAGAAAATGAGGCTGTTCCGAGCGGGTCCCTGCGCCTGGCCGACGGCGAGGCTTCTCTGGCTCGGGGCTGGCTCCTGAGGGGCACGAACAGCCGGCCTGGCGGTTGGGGCCGAGGAGGGAAGGTACCACCTCCTCGAGGCAGCGCGCAGCCTGTAGCACAGGCGTCTGCTCCGAGCGGTCCCTGGAGGGCGCCGCCGCCACTTCGCTCCTCCGGGGCCGCTCGCTCCCAGGAAAGCGGAGGCAGCTGGCGAGGACGGAGAGCAGGGGCAGAGCTGCGGAGGGACCGCGCCTCCAGGAGTTCGAGGTGCACCCTGGCGCGGCGGGCCGGTCTTGGCTTCCCGGCCACTGGCCGGCCGCGCCCGCCTTTCCCCGGTCAGCGCTTGGGGCCCGCGCCGCACGCACCGCCCAGCAACCCCGCGCGCGTCCCGCGGGGGCGCTGCGTCTTCCTGCCACACCGGCGCACCGCGGCCCCTCTCCCCCACACCTCCGTCCCGCACCACCCGGCTCTCCTCCCAACCTCCCCACCCCTCCTCTGCCCTCCCTCCCCTCTCCTCCCCTCCCTGCGAGGGGCGGGAGGGGGCGTGGCGGGGCCGGGGTTTGTGTGGCTGGGACCCGGCTCCTCGCACTCCGAGTCCGCCCGAGGAGCCGGGCCCCGGCCGCTGTCCAGCCGCTCCGTGCCCTGCGCGTCCTGCGCCGCCGCCACCGCCTCTTGGGAAGACGCAGCCACTTGCCCGCCATGGATATTCCCAGGGTCCTGCTCTCGGCCGTCTTCCTCATCAGTTTTCTGTGGGATTTGCCCGGTTTTCAGCAGGCTTCCATCTCATCCTCCTCGTCGTCCGCCGAGCTGGGCTCCAAGGGCATGCGGAGCCGCAAGGAAGGGAAGATGCCGCGGGCGCCGCGCGAGAGTGACGCGGGCCGGGAGGGCCAGGAGCCACAGCCGCGACCTCAGGACAAGCCCCAGGCTCAGCAGCCCTGGGCGCAGGAGCCTCCAGGCAGGGGTCCGCGCGTGGTGCCCCACGAGTACATGCTGTCAATCTACAGGACTTATTCCATCGCAGAGAAGCTGGGTATCAATGCCAGCTTTTTCCAGTCTTCCAAGTCGGCTAATACGATCACCAGCTTTGTAGACAGGGGACTAGGTAAGTGGCAAAGAAGACGCCCGACACCCCTCCCGCTGGAGCTCCGCAGCCAGGGTGCTACTCCGGCCCGGGAGACTGCATTTGTGAATTTCCTTCCCGCTTTGGACACTTCCCCTTTACTTTTCTTAAATTGTTTTTCTAAATCCCGAGTAAGTTTCTGAATGCGGCTGCAGATTCTATTCCAGTCTGTAATTCTCCCTTCCTTTTTCCCCCCTTTCTTTCTCTCTCTCTTCTTTCCTTCTTCCTCTTTTGCAGAAAGCGGCGTCGTTGCCGCTTGTCTGGTGGCTGATGGGGGAAACGTGGAGGACGAGAGACAGTAGGCGGATGAACTCGGTTGGAGAGGGGTCGGGGCGGGAACTGATGGAACCGGTGTCTAGGGGTACTGGGTTCGCAATCCAAAGCCTCAGCTGCTGGGGCAGCAGATCCAGGGCATGAGTGAGCCTTGGAAAGACCTGGGAAAAGCCGGCACTAGCGAGTTCCACCGTCTGAGGAGCTAGTCCGAGAGAGGCGTCCGGCAGCCCCCTGGTCCTGACACCGCGCGGGTTCTCGGTTGGTCCCCGCGCTGGGTGCTGGGATGGTCAGCCAGGCTGTAGCCCTGCGCCTTTCGGCTTTTTGCTCCAGCGTCGCGCTCCTGGCTGCTCCGAGGCCTCAACCCGAGTGATTTCTGCAGATGCGGCGGCAGCAGCTGGGCGGGCCGGGGCAGGGGCGGCTAAGTTTGGGGGCTGTGGGTACTTAATACGCAAGGGTACATGGGTGTGCCCATCCACCTTTCTCAGCCAGGCAACGCTTATCTCAGCGCTATTCTCGAGGGCTGGTGGGGGTCGGGGAGGATCCCTGGTACCCTCTGTGAAAGCTCGTGCGTGTGTCGGTGTCTGCGGAAACCCTTGCGCCCCCTTCTTGCCACCGGCGTTGATCCGCAGCGTGGCCAGTGCCCTCAAGAAAACCTCACATTACCTCTGGTCCCAGAAATTTGGGAGGGATCCACAGGCATCGGCAACTCGGCTCCTAAAGGAGGGAGACAATAACGTGGAAGGAGACAGGAAAGGTAGGGAGGAAAACGAAAAGAGAGGGAAAGGGAAGGAGATGAGAAGAAAAGGAGGGGATGAAAGAGTTTTAGGTAGTTGTCCACTCCACCATCCTCCCTAGACTTAGCTCCACGACTTTGACCTGTTCCCAGTTAAGTGGGGTTGCCCAGGAACCATGCAGAGCTGGAGTTCGTGGTTCGGAAGTTGCTTCAGCAACGGCTACCCGGGGTGCTAGCACTTCCCCTAGGCTTTTTAGAGTAGGGTAAAGCTCCTCCGCCCCCGCCCCCGGGCTCTTCCGCCGCTCCAGCCCCCGCCTCTCTTAGTCGCGTTCCTTGCACGAGAGTCCTGCCCACGCTGGGTTCGCGGCTGCAGCCCGAGGTCAGCGAGGTTCATGAGCTGCTGAAAGGTCCAGAGGGCAAATTAACACCGGGTATTTTATGATGATTTTAGGGCTACTAAAGCCACCTTTGCAAAGACACGTGGCTTCTTCGTAGTAGTGCAACTGAGTCCCTGGCCTCCGGGCTGCCCGTGCAGCTCCCCAACCCTCCGCACGCTGCACGCCCTGCTACAGTTGTTTTTCTCCCTCCAAGTTCTCTGTTAATCGTGACCTTCTCTACTACACTTGCGGAAGGAGGCTAAGGAACCTCAGAGAAGACTGCTCAAGAGGCCCTTCTTCAAGAGAAGAAATCCCAGAGGCCTAGGCAGGCCGGCGGTTGGGCGCGCATTTTCTTTGCCTGGGAGTGAAGTGGCAAGAATCTTCGCCCCTCCCCCAGGTGGGCACCCTAACTGGTTCGCTGCGCCCTGTGAATTTGGCACAGGACCAAAAGACCCTGAGGGGTGTTCAAAGGTGTCTACGGAAACCTGTAGCATTCAGACAAGGGTTAGGGGGACGTCTTGGAGGGCCCCAAATCCAGCGTAGACGCGAACTCACTTTACCCTAGTTTGTTTGCCCTGCGGCCTCCTCCCTAGGCACTGCGCTTTGAGCCCCCGGATCAGGGAGATAGAGGAGGTATTGCATATGCACCCAGGCTAGGGAGGCCTCTGTCCCCGAGCCAAGGCCTCCAGACTAGCAGGACCGAGATCCACAAGTCCGGTTACAATCCGGGAATGCCATCGAGGGCTGGGGGTTCGGGCGGTCCACAGCGGGAGGAGACTCGGAATGACCACCCGGACGGCAGCTTCAAAGTCGCGGTCTCCTCTGCGTCTCCGGGTTCCCAGAAAATGCGAAGAAAGGCAGTTCGTTGACTGGGAAGGCGGTGCGGCTTGTCGCCCGCCGCTCGGGGGTGTAGGAGTGCGGAGCCGCAGGCGGGAGGGGTGCGCAGAGGAGGGGGTACGTTGCTGGCTGCAGCCTCAGCTTGATAAAGGGAAAGCCTCACTTTCCCTCTCACTGATTTTGATTTGATGTGTCACCGGCGGTGACCTCGGGCTGGACCTTCCGGGGCTTGCTTAGCATCGGGCCCCTGATTGGAGTGTTTCAACTCAGCGATCTAATTGAGGGTTCATGTCATAACACATCAAACGGTGTCTCGTCTCCCGTGATGGAAGGGACCCGCCAGCCGCGCATCCCCGGCTCCTGGCGAGGACTTCCGCCCCTCTCACGTGGGGCTCTTAACCGCGCCAAACCCCCTAAGGTCCCCTCCCCCAACGCGTGGACTGCCTGGCGAGGAGGAAAGAGCAGCGGCCCGCCTAGAGCTGGGCCAGCCGCGCTAACTTGGCGCCTCGCCTAAGGGAGGTTTAAATCGCCGTCGAGTGGGGCTGGCTTGGCTTGAAGGAGCCGGGGGTCCCACAAGGGGAGGAGCGAAGAAAAGGAAAGGAGCCCTGAAGCCAGTCCAGGAGGCAAGCGCGACTTGCTAGTGTACAATGTCTGTAAAAAGCCTTCCTCACGCCTGTAATCCCAGCACTTTGGGAGGCCTAGGCGGGTGGATCACGAGGTCAAGAGATCGAGACCATCCTGGTCAACATGGTGAGACCCCGTCTCTACTAAAAATACAAAAAATGAGCTGGGCATGGTGGTGCGTGCCTGTAATCCCAGGTACTCAGGAGGCTGAGGCAGGAGAATTGCCTGAACCCAGGAGGCGGAGGTTGCGGTGAGCCGAGATCGCGCCATTGCACTCCAGCCTGGGTAACAAGAGCGAAACTCCGCCTCAAAAAAAGAAAAGAAAAAAAAAAAAAAAAAGCCTTCCTTACCCCGGAAACCCCAAAGTTACACCTGGAACCTGTGAGAGTGGGAGGGCAGGCATAAACTCTGCCAAAGTGAATGACGCGCGCTTTAGGTTTATAGAAAGCAGTTTCTGTACTACTCCATCCCGGGCCACTTCTCCCTGTCCTCCAGGAGGAGAACTTACTGCAAATTAAAAAAAAAAAGAAAAAACAAAAAAGAAAGGTTCCTTTTTTCAGTATGCTCTCCAGACACCTAGGAGTAATAATAGTAACCATGATCTATTGACAATTTACTGTGTACCAACTATTGCACTAAAATTTGTTACATGAATTATCTTGCTTAGTTATCACAACCTCTTCCAAGAAAAACGCTATCATCACCCCGTTTTACAGGTGAAGAAGACAGAGAAGTTAAACAAGTTGCTCGAGGTCACACAGCTGGTGAGAGGTGGGGCTCATATAAGATTCGAGACCCTGCACGTTTAACTAGAGCACTGTATAGATAATTTATGGGGTGAGGTGTTTTCTAATGGATGATGACAAGAAGCAGAAGTTAAAAAAATGGAAAGATTCTCCCCCGCTCCCCGCCCCGCCAATACCCGGTCTAATATTTGTCTGTAGTCACTAACCAGTTGGGAGTGTGAGTGTAACTAGATGTGAGGGTCTGAAGTTTGGGTGCCTTGCTTTCTCCTGTTCTTATTTTAATCACGTTATCCCTGGTTTTTTTTTTTAATGCTCTTATATTGTGCTTTAGAAATGATGTTGGATCCATAAAGATGAGAAGGTGTGTGTATATGTGTTTTGGTGCCATCTTGGGATGAGAATGGATGAGATTGGATATGGTGAAAATACAATTTGCTTATGAAATAACTCATTAAAGGGCCACTAGTACTGGGGGCCTGGGAAAGGCAGACAATTAGTTCTCCGAATTCAACAGGACTGAGAGATACGGGGGAGGGAGAGGTGGAGGGAGGGAGGGAGGGAGGGAGAGAGAGAGAGAGAGAGAGAGAGAGAGAGAGAGAGAGAGAGAGACTCAGACTTTATGTAGTGAAAAGTGCCACATAATTCTAACAAGAAGAAAAAAACTCTCAAGCATGAGAGAACCAAAATGAGTCTAAGACTATTGCTGTGAGTTAGGTTTCCAGAGGACTTTGAAATCAGAATACCCCTTACTTTTTTCTTGTTGTAATAACACTCTCAAAAAGGAGGCAGTATGGAACAGATAAAAACCAAAACGAGATGGGAATATCCTTGAAGAACTTGATGCACTAGAAATAACTCTCAGGACAGTTTGCCAGTAATTGTTGACTTCTCCGTTCACCTTCCGAGTCTTGACTATCAAGGGGCAGAGCGGAACCATTCTGGGAATAGCCCGGCTGCGGGGAGGGCATTCAGAGAGTTGCACAGTTCCCGCGGGATTGAAGTTCATCTGGTACCTCATGTTATGCAAAACAGTGGGTTTCTGGGTGGACCTGGGCCTCAGAGTGGTGTAATCAATTCGGCAATACTTTTGCCGGTACCCTGTTATCGTTGGCAAACCGAAAATGAAATATAAGCAGGGAAGTATTTTAATGGGGACGGAGGGAATTCACAACTGTTAATTATTTGGTGACCTTGTATTCGATTTGTTTGAGTCCCTTATAAAAACACTAATGCAGACCAGACGGCCAAATGAGGAAGCTGGGCAGAAGGTTCCAATCTAGGCTTTATTTCCCCGGAAAAAGGGAACAGCCTCGGAAAAGGCTTGCTAAGCGTTCAAGGTGGGGTGTGCGTGTGAGAGCGCCTGCAGAAGCGCGGACACGGAGTTTGCGCCAC